CACATTTAAGTATATGTGTTTCCATTGGGGGTACATCTAAAACAGCTTGCAAAAGCTGTAGTTTTCTTGTCTGAAGCCTTTGCAAGTCTCACCGTTGAACCCAGGCCAGCCTTGTCTTATTATCCTAATAAAAAGATGCATATGTTTTCATTGGGGGTATATTTACTAAATAGTGATTTTTTAAATGTTGTATTTGGAAAGTAATTTTTTACGTTAATGTTAGATCTGCTCAATTACTGAGAGAACCTTTATGATTAGCATATCTGATTATTCCCACCTTGTAGCAGTACAGAACTGATACAAATTGACATGAGGGTTTTCCCTTCACAAGAGATAGTGTGACCTTAGATCATTCCAGCCTCTCATAGGCTTCGTCAGTGATGAGCATCTGTAATGCCCCTACCTACAATGACCCATGACTGGAATTCACTTAAACTTAAAAGGACTACTCAAAGAGCAAATAGATAAAAAAAAAAAAATCTATTCTTAGTGATTATCTCTTGCTTTTTGTGGTTTATTTATAAAAAAAAAAAAAAACATAGGCTCTCCTAGACAAACCACTGTCACCCAGTACAAAGTGCCCAAACCTTCGAGAGATTCCTGTTTATTCAATTAATGAAAAGGATGAGAAACTCCTTAGCATTTCAGGACCGTCAGCACAGGAGGAAATAAGGAATGTATACTGAGAAACTGCACCTCTCCCCCCCTGTCATGCACAATCTTTCTCATATTACATTATTTTAAGTTTATGGAAAATCTTTTATGTATCTGTTTTTGTGGACAATTGTAAATATGGATTTCGGCATACCTTATAATACCAATAGAAATGTGTTACTTTACTCAAACGTCACTGTGATATTTTGTGTGAAAACATTTATCACATTATAGTGAAATGCATTGTGTAGTCTATTGGCCTACACCTGTTATAGTACCTGTCCGTCCTAGGCCAGCATCTTGCCACCATGTCAGACACCAAACATTGCTTTCTACTTTCCTTTTCTACTTTACAGAATGTCCGGTGTTTCTCAAACCCATGTTCCATTGCAGAACATGTTTGATTCCTTGGACATACATTCTAACATGGCAGTCTATAAGCTAATTACAGAGCATTGCCCTCTCATGGTTTTCCTTTGGCCTCAAAGGAGAGCAATAGAAAAAAAAATGTAAACATTTTTTTTTTTTTTATTCCTAGTTTGTTGCAAAATAGGAAAGTGCTTCAAACTGGATTTTTTAATCAACCACAAAAAACAGATGTGAGAATGACTGAACTTAATGGACACTTTTGGGTGGGGGCGGGGGGTTTCAACCTTTTTTAACTATGTAATAACATGTTGCTATTTTGTTTGTGTCCTTTTGGTATTAACATAGCTTTTGCTATTTTGACTATCTTTTTTTTTTTTTCTTTTTGATATCTCTAGCCTTTGGCTCATTTCCTAATTGTTAGGACTATCTACACATATCTCCCAACTTTAAGAGGTGTGCAATTGGGACAGGGGTGGCCAAGACTTTGGGGGGTGTGCCAGTGATACAAAAATGGGAGGGTCCACCAGAAAATGGGTCGAGAATGACTGTGCCAGCTTGATAAGAATAAACACCATGCTAACTAGAAGCCTCTCGACTGGTGGCAGACCTTCAACACCACTCTCTACGTGGTCCTAGTGCCTTCAGCACAGCTGAAGTGCCTCTAAAGATGTGCTCACTTTGTGCTGGCTGACGGGCAGTTATCTGGTGTCCCACATCCAAAGTCAGGATTATGGGACATGAGTCTAAAACTGAGAGACTTTGCTCTATCCTTAGGCAGCAGTTGCTTTTGTATGTAAAATTGCCCCCTATTGTTTTTAATTTAAGATAATGGATTCTAAAAAGGAGCAAAAAAGTAAAGGAAAGACATTCTTATCACATAAATCCCTGAAGAGAATGCAAGATGAGTAAGAACGTATGGAGGCGTTGGATCCAAAACGTTGAAATTGATATATTTGGTCTAGACCTCTTTATAGGAAGAGGTGGGGGTATACACTAGCAACAAAACTCTAAATATATCATGACTTGCAGTGTTTCTTGTAAAAATGCTACATAGACTAGGTTATTGCACCACAACCACTTCAGCTTGCGTAGAATGACTCTTTTTAACCCCACCACTCTAAAGTCCCTTATAGACCTCTATTCTGATTTTATCCTTCGATGTGTGACTAAGCTCTGCATATTGTATCACTGGCAATTCAGTCAAACGTAGTTCTATAACATCTGAGGATCTACCTTTCACTTACTACTGTTCTGAGGTGATGCACTACAAATTCAATTTTTTATTAATTATTATATTCACTAACAGTGTGTTGTGATTCATTGCCAATTGAATCACACAATTTAAAGTAACACTATAGGGTCAGGAACACAAACGTATTCCTGACCGTATAGTGTTAAAACCACCATCTAGCTCCCCTGTCCTTGCCTCCCAAAGTATAGTAAAATCTTACTTGTATTCAAGTCTGAAGCTGTTGCCTCTGTCCCTGATCTGCCTGCATGTCTGAAATAATCAGAAGTGATTCTGTGAGCCAATCACAGTGCTTTCCTATAGGATTGGCTGAAACTGCCAAGGAGGCAGATCAGGGGCAGAGCCAGCACAAGTCAAACACATCCCTGGCCAATCAGCATCTCCTCATAGAGATCCATTGAATCAATGCATCTCTATGATAAAAGTTCAGTGTCTCCAGGAGACACTGAATGGCAGTGTGCAGCGCTGCCCCAGGAAGCAGCTCTAGTAGACATCTGAGAAGTGGCCAGTGGAGTAATCACTAGGCTGTAAGGTAAACTTTGCATTCTCTCTGAAAAGACAGTGTTTACTGCAAAAAGCCTGAAAGGAATGATTCTACTCACCAGAACAAATACCCTAAGATGTAGTTGTTCTGATGACTAAAGTGTCCCTTTAAGCTTCAACATCTATCGTTTTTGTCCTAAATTTAAAATTTTGTAAGGAAGGAAGCCATGGGCTCCTTTGTCCTTTTTCCTGTAATGAGTGGAGTTTTTGTCTGTATTTTATCTTATTCTCTATCAGGAATTGTGGTTTGAATAACAGGGCAGTCTGCATGCTCCAGATACAGCACTTGCTGTATTGCATTTTCATAAGTGCGTTTTTTCGTGTTTGAATTTCACCCCTGCAATATTACACGGCACACCTGTCTATTTCTTATGTTTTTTGGCTCTTCCTGACACGGTGACTCAGGCTGATTCTTCTTAAATGTTATTTCCCCAAACTTCTGAAATACTGGCGACGCCTTGCTTAATAGTACGTGAAAAATGCTTACAATTGCGTATAATTTATGTTTCCTTAGGGACCTATTTACTGTAATGTTAAACAGTGCTGCATGTGGATTTTATGAAACTCAGAACAGGAACTGAACAGAGCAATGTATCACCTATAGGAATGACATCAAAGAAACATGACATAATGGGGGGGGGGGAGAAGCCAGCATATTGCCATATCTTCCTAACCAGCCCTCCACTAGAGCTTAAATACAGTCTGCAGTAATAACCCAAACCAGGACAGGAGCAGATGTCGAGATTTCTCTTTTAGACAAATCTTCTCCTGAGATAAAATAGTGTGAGTGGTTAGTTAATCACTTCTATCACAGTCACTGTCGATGGCTGGCAGACAGATAGACATAAAGACAGACATAGATACAGTCCTAGTGCAATATCCAGACAAGAATGTAGCATGTTTGTTTGTTTTTTAAATTCTTTATTTTTCTGTGCATTTATGTTGAAACATGCAAACTTATGATGCTACAACAGCATAGCCAGGACATTCATAAGCAATTACAGTGGCTTAGGTCGTGGCTTGTTTACACATTGTACACATTAATAAAGAGTAGAACTAAGTGATAGAAACAAGCGTAGTATGACTGTCCAGCTGCTACGTTGAATGCTCAGTGTTAGAAAGAAACAGCATGTATTATGTCAGTCGGGAGTAAAACAGTGGAACTGTGTGTGCACTTTTTCCATTTCAAGTGAGGCGAGTCTTCCCATGCTATGGGTATCCATGGGGGGGTCAGGGTTGTAATGAATGAGGCAAGTCTGTGTTCAGGCTTGTGTACCTGCGGGTAGTTTGGTGTCACACCTGATAACTGGGGGGGGGCTTAGAGTGTAAAGTAGGCTTCTTTGGTTGTCCCATTATAAATTGGCTTTTGTGCTACATTTGAGGCCTAGGGTCTTTGCTAGATTTTTAGCAGAGGTGGCGTGACAGGTGTGCAGTGCGTAGAGTGGTGAGTGGTGTAGTGTCGACCCCTAACCTGAGGGGATCATGGGGGTGAGGGGGTTCGTCATGGCCTATTTTAGTGGTCGTATCACTCAGCAGACAGTCAAGGGGAAAAAGTAGCTAAAATTGGAGTAAAAAGAACATCAGGGTTAGCTTAGAGATGAGAACAAAAGAACATGGAAGCAAATAGTATGCATTCTGTGGCATGTTCAGGTTACTGCCTCTTGCCTCGTATTACTCCTGGGGATGAATGGAACTGTTCTGTCTGAATCCCATTCATGGGAGGGTGATGGTGCAAAGGGGTGTTCAGTGATAGTTTCAGTTTTTGTTAACTGTTAGGGTTCTTAGTAGTAGCCATCTGTATTCTAACTTCCCTTGCCGTAATCGAGCAGTTGCGATGATTCAAAGTCTAATGGCGTCTTGCCCCTTATGGCTGCCAGGATGCGGTGTTTGTTGGACGTGGAGTGGCAGCAGACTATGACGTCTCTTGGTGCCATTGTGCTGCTGTTAGTCTTTTGAGGAACTGTGGCAATTCTGTTGGCCCAATTGTGTCTGAGATTCCTCAAATTTTAATGTGCGTGCGCATACTGACGTCTTCCATGGCATCTAATGTGTTTTAAAATACTGTGATTGCAGACTGTATGTGTCGCAGGGTGTCTCCCATGCTCTTCACTTCTTGTCTGAGGTCTAACATGTCATCTTAGGAGACCTGCACCCGTGCTGTCACTGTCTGCATTTCTGTTTTTACCAGGTTCATGTCAGCATCAAACATCTGCTTCATTTCCTGTAGTAGCTGCCTGATATCCCCTTTTGTGGCTGGGGCTGAGTCATTCCCTTCTGCTCGTTGGCTGCTGGGTGACTCAAGTCTCTGTTGTGCCCTGTGTCCCTCCAACTGCTGCTCAGAGCATGTGGAGCCTGTCTGAGGATCCTGTTCGGCCGCCATCTTGTGGCTTGCGGTGCATTGCAGCAGGGCCCCTATATCTCGGGAATCCCAGGGTTTACCTGCCGGGGCTTCTGTGTGCGTTTCCCCATATTGGTGCTAGGGGGCCGCTGTGGGTCTACTGGCTGTTGGGCCCAGTTTTCAAGCCCCGGGAAGAATGCTGCTGGTAAGTGCGGTACTGCAGGGAGAGCGAGGTAGGCCCGAGATTTGCGGCGGGATTTCTTGCCCGTTTGTGAATACACAGGTCGATGGCCCCTGCGTCTTCGATTTTTTGCGGATTAGCCGTCGAGTGTAGGGAGTTAGTATTTCAGTTTTAAAACTGTCTTAATAAATTGTTCCACTTTCAAGAATCGAACAAGATATCTCTTTCAGAATGTCATATATATAAAACAGACAGACAGATACAAAGACAAAGATACACAGAGGCAGATAGATAAATAGATGCTTTTTGTTTATTCCATCATTCTCAATGATCAGTTTTAGCACCACAGAGACTGTTTACAAAGACTTGCCATTACTTCTCTAAACCATATGCTTTTGGCACGAGTGAGCTTATCTGAAACTTACGTGAGTACTTACCAGAGGGCAAGCTATTAAACTTTTCTCTTATCTCAGTGTTTTTGCTCACTTTACTTTGGCTTGTATGCTTTCAGGATCAGGGGTTAAACTCCACTTGCAGCAATGTGTTCCACTTTATATTTGTGTCTGTGTTCTCGCTTTGGAACATACTGATATGTCATACATTGTAAATATAGCGATGTACTTAGTCTAATGTTCCCATAATTTTCTCACCTTTATACATGAAGCATCTTAGGTTCTTTGTGTATTTTGCTGGGGAAACAATAATCATTTAGAAAAGCTGTGGTTTCCCTCCTGAGATAAGTGCTCTGTTTATTCACGAGGCGTCAAATTCAAATGGAAATGTTCACAACCCGCCTTTCAGACATTTTATTATAAATCCATTAAATAAAGACAGCAAGGTCATGTCACAATACCGCTAACACACATCGGGATACTGATTTTATTTACTGGAATTAACCCTTTCGCTGGAATATGTTGTAGTGAGTTACTGATGTAGATGCTCTGTGTGCTATTAGCATATTATCACAGCATCACACAGAACATGCTGTCTTTGTATTATCATGCATGATTTTACCAACAGGGAGCACAGTGCTCCCTGGACATTCTGGGAGGGCTTTCTCTGGTGGGAGGGAGAAAAAAGGTCTCGTGTTTCTGCACGACACTAATTAAAGCTACACTCTCACCGTCTGGGAACTTTACTGATGATGGCATCATTGCTGGGGGGTCTGGTGGCCAGGGAGTGACAGGTAAAGGTGAGATTTACTTACCTGAACCTGCCTCTCGTGGGCGCTGCCATTTTAATCCAATGGGTTCTCTTTGGAACTGATGTCACTTCTGTACTCTCGCACAGCATTGAGGTGTTCGGAGGATCCAGCAAGATCACGGGATCCTCCATAGATACAGCCAATTCCATGCAGCTGCCACTAGTGACAGCTGTAGAAATTGACACTTAGAATCTAAAAAGTCAAGTGGAGGAGAAATGTGGAGATACAAGTAGTTCCCTACTTTGCATCTGTATATCTCTTTGGCTGAGTTGGAATTTCAAAGATTCTATTTTTATGAAATTCTCATTTACCAGGATGGGAGGTGACAGTGCCGCTTTAACCCCTTAGTGACCAGACCATTTATAAATTTTCTTACCGTTAAGGACTAGGACTGTTTTTACATTTCTGCGGTTTTGTGTTTAGCTGTAATTTTCCTCTTACTCATTTACTGTACCCACACATATTATATACCATTTTTCTCGCCATTAAATGGTCTTTCTAAGGTTACCATTATTTTCATCATATCATATAACTTAATATAAAAAATATTATAAAATATGATAAAAAAAACAACTTTTTCTAACTTTGACCCCCAAAATCTCTTACGCGTCTGCAACCGCCAAAAAACGCCCATGCTAAATAGTTTCTAAATTTTGTCCTGAGATTAGAAATACCCAATGTTAACATGTTCTTAGCTTTTTTTGCAAGTTATAGGGCAAAAAGTACAAGTAGCACTTTGCCATTTTTCTTTCAAAATTAACGAAAGTTACATTGTAACACTGATCTGTTAGGAATCCCTGAATAACCCTTCGCATTTATATATTTTTTAAAAGAAGACAACCTAATGGTATTAAACTTGTGGTATTTTGACTCGTTTCATTCAACCATTTTACCACCAATCTATGCCAAATAAAACATTTGTTTTAAAATTGGTGCCTTTTTTGACACACATAGCAATTTAAGAATACATGTACTGAGAACTTAAAGGGTTATTGGCAAAGAACAACCCAATATGTGTTCAGCAACATCTCCTGAGTACAGTGATACCACCCATGTATAGGTGTTCCGGATTCTCTGGGGGATAAAAGACCTTATTTGGAGGGTGCGCATTCCAGTTTTCCAACTTCGAATTTTCACAGCTGGTCATCATGCACCTATGTCCTATTTGGGACATTTTTTAAGTCCCAAATGTGTATATACGGGACTAATACTGCTAATCCAATCTACACTATATATATATATATATATATATATATATATATATATATATATAGTGTAGATTGGATTAGCAGTATTAGTCCCGTAGACAAGATGCTAAAATACCAAAGTATTGCAGTATGCAATGATACCTTTTTTATTGGACTAACATAATATTTCAAAGACAACCTTTCGAGAGTTTTCCTCTCTTCCTCAGGTCTGAAGCAACACAGATCAATCTGATAGAGTTGAACACTTAAAACAACTGAAGTGAGATAAGGGGAGGGACGGAGGTGGGGTGCGGGGAGGGGTGTCATAAATAGCAGAAGATGTGCCTGAAAGTGAAAGGTGCAGGTTGGCTGAGAATAGCCAGAAAAAATAAAAAATAAACAGAGGAGAGTCAATATGCTAGTTAAAAAAACTAAATAAAACAAACAAGAAAACAGCAGAGCAGGGCATGCAAGAATATAGTTGCATATATGTATGTATATAAATTGATCCAATTAAGGTGAAGCAAGAATATTGAAAAAGAACTATATAGGACATTAAGATGTGTGTTTATAAAATGTTTTGGTAGTGTGTGAGAAAGCCAGAGTGATGTGTGATCATTTTCATCTCAAATGTCTTTCATTCATGAGAGTCTTTGAAATTCCCTTTAAGAACTTTAATCCTGAGGTTTTGGATGGAGTGACCAGTCTGGGTGAAGTGATGACCAATAGGGGTACAATATCCATTTTCCTTTGATTCTTGATTGAGTGTCTGTGTATATTCAATCTGAGATCAGTGCCGGTGCTAGGATTTTTAGTTACACAGGCGAACATGCATTTTGGTGCCCCTCAACCTCCTTTAAAAAAAAAAAAAAAAAATGCATCTTCACCTGTGTGTATTTCCTCCCAAGCCACAGGCATAATTTTTCAGTCACACAGTCAAAGTCATACAGGTACACTGTCATACAAACACAGAAATAATCATACAGAGACATTTAGACACATACAGTCAGTCAGTCAGAGACATACAGACATACAGGCAAAGACATACATGCATACAGAGACATGAAGGCATATAAAGACATGCATACATACAGAGGCATACCGTCATACAGACACATACATACATACATACATACAGAAACATACATACAAAGACATCCAGGCACATACATACATACATACAGGCATACAGAAACATACAGGCATGCAGACACATACATACATACAGGCATACAAAGACATGCATGCATACAGAGACATGCATGCATACAGAGACATACTGCCATACAGACACATACATATATACAGGCATACAGAGACATACAGGCATACAGAAACATACATACAAAGACATATAGGCATACATACAGAGACATACAGAAACATACATACAAGACATACAGACATACAGACACATACAAACATTCATACATAGAGAGGCAAACCGTCATACAGACATACATACATAAACATACATACAGAGACACACAGACACATACGTACATACAGAGACATAAAGGCATACAGTTACACACATGCATACAGAGATATATATACAGACATTCAGAGACAAACAAACATTTAGTTACATACATGCATGCATACAGATACATACATGCATACAGAGACATACATACATAGAGAGAGATACATACATACATACAGAGACATACATACAGAGACATACACACAGAGACATACACACAGAGACATACACACAGAGACAGACATACATACATGCATACATACATAGAGATAGATACATACATACATACAGAGACATACATACAGAAACATACATACAGAGACATACAGAGACAAACATACATACAAACAGAGACATACTGACATACATACATACAGAGACAGACAGACATAAATACAGAGACATACATACAGAGACATACATACATACAGAGACATACATACAGAGACATACATAATTACATACTCACATCTGTTAAATCTTGTCCCCTGGGTGCATGCTGTCCGGCTCTGTGGAGTCCAGTCCTGCAACCCAGCCCCATCACAGGGCGCCAGCCGCGCAGTGTGGGACACAGGGAGCAGGGATATGATCCACACAGCCTGCGGCAGACACCAGGATAGGAGGTGGGCGGGCCGAGGCTGAGCTCCGCGGGCGGGAATCTCTGGGCTGCGCTCGGCCACTCTACAAGTAGTAACCAGCTGGAGGGTAGCCAGGTGCGCTTCCCTCCTTCCTGTCTGCCTGATGTCGCGCCCCCAGGGCTAGTGCGCCCTAAGGCGGCCGCCTGGGCCGCCTTATGGTAGCGCCGGCCCTGTCTGAGATGCAGTTTAAGGCCAGTTTCTCCAATGTAGCAACCTTTGTCACGCACTGTACACTGTATCATGTACACCACATTTGCAGGTGTGCACGAATATGATCCCTTAATGTTAACCCCTTAAGACCGCAGGACGTTCTATGCCGCATAGAACACCCTGCGATCTTATGTAC